TATCATGAACTAATCTAGACAATCACTAACTATTTTCTATCTCTATAGATTTGCCTATTCTGGACACTTCATATAAATGGATCACAGGATATGTGGCCTTTTGTTACTGGCTTCTTTCACTTAATAGAATGTTTTTAAGGTTCATCATGATGTAGCATGTATCAATACTTCATTACTTTTTATTGCCAAATTCTTCAATCTATGAATATATCACATGTCCTTTATCCATTCATCTCTTGGACATTTGATTGTTTCCACACCTTTTGATTATTATGAATAATTCTGCTATGAACATTTGTGTGGACATACATGTTCATTTCTCTTTGGTATATACCTAAGAGTGCATTGTTGGATCATATGGTAACTACATTTGAGGAAGTCAGACTCTTTCCAAAGCAACTGTATTATTTTACATTCCCACAAGCATTGTCTAAGCCTGGATTCCAATTTCTTCACATTCTTGCCAACTCTTTTTATTATCTCTGTGTTTTTATAATAGCCATCCTAGTGTATGTGGATTTATGGATTTACATTTTTTTAAAAATTTGATTGATTTAAGAGAGATAGAGAGAAAGGAAGGACTTGAGAAAGAAAGAGATCAATTTGTTGTTCTGCCTATTTATGCATTCCTTGATTGATTCTTATATGAGCCCTGACCAGGAGTTGCCATATCGGGATGATGCACTAACCAACTGAGCTACCTGGCCAGGGCCTCATGGTTTTCATTTGTATTTTTTCATGTGCTTGTTGGCCATTTATGAAACTTCATTGAAGAAATGTATGTTCAGTCCTGGCCGAGTACCTCAGTTGGCTAGAGCATCATCTCAATATGGGAAGGTTATGAGTTCGATCCCCAATCAGGGCACACAGAGGAAACAACCAATGAATGTGTAAAGAGGTGGAACAACAAACTGATGTTCCTCTCTTCTTTCCTCATTCTCTCTCAAATCAACAAAATAAAGTAAAAATAAAGTGTTTTAAAAAGTGTTTGCTTTCTTCCATTTCTTTCATTTGTGATGTGTTTCTTGGTCTCCACATTTTTAACTGCTTCCCTGTGTTTGTGTCTGTGTGTTAGGTAGAGCTGCAATGTCTCCTGGAATTCTTAAAGTGGCCTTGTGTAGAAGGTGTCCTGTAGGGCCCAGTGGCTAAGCCTCCCCAGTCACCTGCGCAGGGCACTCTAGGTGTGGACTGTGTGCAAAGTTTTGTTGTAAGTGAGCTTTGCTTGCTATTGGCCTCAAGGAGGAGTGGATCACTTTTGGACATGGTGAGTTTGTCATTTAACAACCCTACCTTCTTCCTGCTACTGCCTGCTAGGTCAGCTAGGAGGAGCTGATCTGCAGGCCAATTGGCTGTGAGGACCAGTTGTGACTGCAGTGGAAGAGCTGCTGTGTAGGAGACGCCCTTCTGGAGCAGGACTTACTTCAGTGGGGTTTTGGTGCTCACTGAGTCTGCCCGTTGAGTGTGTTGCTCTCCATTGAGCCAAACTGGTTAGGGCTTAGTTATAATTTTGATGTGATTGTGGATCCTCTCAAATTATTGGCCCTTTTATTATTGAGATAAGAGTTCTTTATATATTTTAGTTGCAAATCTACAAAAAAAAAGTTCATTCTGTGGGTTGTCTTTTTACTTTCTTGATGTTATTCTTTAAAGCACAAAAATTTTTGGTTTTGATGAATCCAGTTTATCTGTCCCCTCCCCCACTCTTTGGTTATTTTTTAAAATATATTTTATTGATTTGAGAGAGAGAGAGAGAGAGAGAGAGAGAGGGAGAGAGAGAAATATCAGTGATGAGAGAGAATCATTGATTGGCTACCTCCTGCATGCCCCCCATTGGGGATTGAGCCCGTATCCTGGGCATGTACCCTTGACCAGAATTGAACCTGGGACCCTTCAATTCACAGGCTGACACTCTATCCATTGAGCCAAACCAGCTAGGGCTCACTCTTTGGTTATTTGTGCTATTGGTAGCATATCTAAGAAACCATTTCCAAATCCAAGGTCATGAAAGTTTATGCCTATATGTTGTTCTGTCTTCAAGAGTTTTTGTTAGTTCTCATTTAGGTCTTTGATCCATTTGGGTGCTAGTCTTGAACTTGTCTCTTACTTGCTTTGTGAACTTGGATTGTTGTCCACTTGCCTTTTCTCAGCTTCACTCAGTGATTGCCATGGACTGGGAGTCAGGGATGGGAGCATTGACTACAAAGATGAGAGAACTTTTGGGGGTGATGATAATCTATACTAATGAAAGGGTAATATGCTAATTAGACTGGGAGACCTTCTGAACAAAGCCATGTTGGCAAGGCCAAGGCATAATATGCTTTTATTATTATAGACTAGGGGCCCAGTGCACGAATTCATGCACCTTGAAAGGGACTATGGGTCGCGAGGCTGTAATGGGCACAGGGGCAGATCTTGGCCCATCATCTGCACCCCCTCCAGCCCCTCCTGCTGTGGCCCCTGGGCCCGTCTGCCAGCAGCTCCAGCTCCCACCACTGACACACCCATGAGCTGACAGTGCCGGCCCCACTCACACCGCTAGTGGTGTGGAGTGATTGGGGCCAGTGCCAGCAGCAGGTGCTAGTTGGGCCGGTGCTATCAGCGGGTTCAAGCAGTGACTGCTGCCCTGATCACCCCTCAGGAGTAGAATTTTCAGTAACCACCAGTAGCTCACCCTGATGACAGCAACCAGTACCCCGCCTTGGTTTGGTGCTCCCGCTCATCTGCTCCACCATCCCACCTCAGCTGATGCCCGCCATGTTCTATTCTCTGCTGCCAATGCCTGTTCTGTGCACGCCCCTGGTGGTCAGTTCACATCATGGTAATTGGTTGGTTGGTTGTTTGGTTGTTTCACCATTCGGTCTATTTGCATATTAGCCTTTATTGTATAGGGTTATATAGGATTGTAGTGGCATTTTTTTTTTACAACTTTATACATTTTTCAAGGCTTATAGAACTGTATACCTTTTGGGTAAGTTTTACTATATGAAAAGGAACCTATCTTTAAAAATACCTTCCAACAACTCTACAAAGTATATGTTATTTGTTTTTCCATTTTGAGGATAGAGGAAACTAAGGCTTAGAAAGGCTTGCCTGTGGTCCCACATTTGGGATTTGAACCTAAATCTGCCTGATCACAGAGCTTGTGATCTTCCTATTCATTTTTAACTGGCCCGTAAACCGATAACAGTGTGTGGGTTCTGTTGTAAAGCCAGGAACCGTGTCTGTTTGCATGCAGCTCCTCCAAAGTGGCTGTCATATTCCAAATTTTGAGCCCCTGGCAGACTTCATTTCTGTCAGTCATTAGCTGTGATTGGAATCGATGTGGAGTGCTGCCTAGGCATGATCTCCTTCTTAGACTGTGGCCCTTATTTTGGAGCAGCAGGAGTCCAGTTTCAAAGCTGATGAGTTTCTTCGGATATAAAAAGCAGTTTCATACTTTGTTCAATCAGCAAAATAGAGCTTTCTCAGTAGGAGAGTGCTCAGAAGTTTACAGGGCCAGTTGGGCTGCTTAGCATATTAACAGTCTTTCTTATCCTGGCTTATGTAGCAGAGAACTGGTTGGATAGAGGAGAGATCCAAGGCATTGGAAGTGTACTGGTATTCTGTGTTGCTACATCATTGCCATCATCAGTTACATCTGCATGTAACTTTACAGTTTTGCAATGTTATTTTAACATCTGTGACCTCTCTTCTCTCAGAACCCTGTCAAGAGAATGCTTTTATTTAGAGAGAGTTACTTGGCTGTATTCTAGGATAACTCTGGATTTAAGAAATTTTTTTCCCCTTAAGCTGTGTTGAAATATCTCTTAACTTTCATCCTCAAATTGTTTTAGTTTCAGTTTGTCAACTTGTGGTAATATATTGTCTGATGCTCCGAAGGGGAGAGGGCGTTGCCAGGTCTGCACATTGGGTACATTTCAGGAAGTTCCATCCTCAGAAATTGGCCAGGGGCATTTTCCTCTTTGCCTCTTTGGCCTAGACTTCCTCTCCTTGGGAACCCATCTCTTCTCCACTTCTCATTACAGAACCCAGACAGACTAATTAATCGCAGGGCAATTGTTAGCAAGCCAGCTGTTGACTGCTTGTTTTCAACATTTGACTGTTTCCTATCTTGAGGTGGTACTGGAAAAGTTAATAACCTAAAAAAAACTGCCCATCTATCATGTGAGCCCAGTTAGGAGGGAATTGTTTCATTTTTATGAAGTGTAAATAATATGTATGTTTGCAAGCCTGCGTTGGCCTGTGTTTCAGAGATGGTTCCCTAAACAAGGTGGGACAAATTGGCTGGCTAACAGAGCTTAATAGCAGATTTTCTGTTAACCAGAATGGAGAATGTTTCATTAGGGTAATTAACAGAGCACTTGTGCAGGTAGTACTTATTACACACAAATTTCCAAGTTTATTTCTTTCCCTTGAATAAACGTTGAAAGAGGTCTTGGCTGGGTTTCCTTGTTTGCATTAAAATGATCAGTGGTGTTACATTTCCTTTATTTTTTTTCCCCACCCAAAGCTGTTAGTAACTAGTATCTTGTCCTCTGCAGGTGCCAAGGGTGGGTGAGACACTTGCTACTCTTCCTTCTAGAAGTCTGTGTGCTCTCCATCAGCCACTCGGGCTCCCCTAGGGAACAGAGGTGTTTCCTTTCCCAGCTCCTAGACTAGCATCCTTAGAATCAAAATGGACCTCAGAGAGGTTACATGAATTGATTTCACATCAGGATGTTGACAGCAAGAGAGGGGTAGCATGCTAGTGACAGTCACCTGGGTACAAAGTGGGACTAGTACTGACAGAGACAATGGCCTGGGTGTCAGGCAAGTTTTATCTGTTTCCCACTATCTTCATCTGTCTATTGGAAAAAGTGTCTAGCATAGGGCCAAATTCTAACAAAGAGTTTTTTGTTTTCATCCTGTTTCTACTATAAACTGAAGATTTTAGGGAGGAAACTGATGTCAGGGAGAATGAACAATTAATAATCAATGTTATTTTCGTTGTTTTTCCGTAGGATCCTCAGTCTTCCACAATGAACCCCGTGTACAGCCCCGTGCAGCCTGGGGCTCCTTATGGCAACCCTAAGAACATGGCTTACACAGGTGAGTGGTGTGAGAATGGCTCTCATTTTAAGAAATGTTGGTGAAGGGCAGTGGTCATCAAACTGCAGCTCACAAGCCACATGTGGCTCTTTGGCCCCTTGAGTGTGGCTCTTCCACAAAATACCACGTGCGGGCACGCACATACAGGGCGATTGAAACTTCGTGGCCCATGCACAGAAGTCGTTTTTCGGCTCTCAAAAGAAATTTCAATTGTACTGTTGATATTTGGCTCTGTTGACTAATGAGTTTGCCGACCACTGGTTAAGGGCATTGCCAAATAAATTGCTGAATGACTTTTGATATACTGTGTCTCCGGAAGGTTTGGTAAAGCTTGCAAACTTGTAGAAGGGAGTTATGTCTGGGGTCCAGTGGACATGGAAATCACATTATTGAGAGTAAGGTCACTGAATTGTCAGCAAAGGGAAAGGAAGGGAGGTGACATTCATTTATTGAGCACCTACTGTGGGCCTGGGCCTGTGCTGGGCACTTTAATCTTTCTTTTTTTACTCTTCTACTGAGGATATGTTTTTATGGATTTTTAGAGAGAAAGAGAAGCATCTATGGGAGAGAGAAACTAAGTCAGTTGCCTCAATTATGTGTCCCAACTGGGGATCGAACCCGCAACCTAGGTATGTGCCCTGATCAGGAATAGAACATGTAACCTTTTGGTTTATGGGACGATGCTCCTTGAATCACCTGGTTAAGACTGGGCACTTTAATCTTAAAGCACTTACTTCTATAATGTAAAACTTACCATCACCATGTCACAGATGAAAAATCATGGTTATAGTAAGAGGCTACAATACAAAATAAAAATAGATATTTAAGCCTAGGTCTGCTGATTGTGAAGGCTGATTATTTCCTCCCTGAACTGCATAACAAGCTGTTTCCTACTTCTCTGCCTTTGTGTGCGTTGTCCTGCTGTTGTCTCCTGACAGCTTCACTTAATTCTTTAAGAATTCAGCTTAAGGCCCAGGTAGCATTTTTCCAGGAAGCATTCTCTCCTATACTTGGCCTCAGGCAAGTTTTTACCTCCAGAGCTTCAGTATTTTCATTATAAAATGAGAACAGTAGTATTGCTCTATTTCATAAGGCTGCTATAATGATTAAATGAGCTGGTGTAAAGCACTCAGCACGTATTTGGTATAAAGTGCTTAATAACAGTTGTTATGATTTATAAGTAAACAAAGATGGGTTGAATGTATGGTAGTGAGAGAGAAAATGTATGTAAGTTACTAGCATGGTGCCTAGCATATCATGAGCCTTCAAAATATCATGAATTTAAATAGAAGGTGAAGGTAACAGAACAAACACATGGAAGTAAGCAAGTATGCTGAGGGTATAGTCAATATTTGAGATTAGCTGGAGTGAAGAGTAGAACGGGGAAAAGTGGAAAATGAAGTTCAAAAAATAGATTAGTAATGGTCTTGTTGACAGGGATCTCAGGGAACTGGGTTGTTCCAAGCTGTCCTATATGAGAGAGTACTAAGGGGTGCTTTAGAGATTCCTCAAATATTATCTAACAGAGCTGGGATTTGAACCTGGTGGTTGTTCATTCAATTGACACACATTTACCAAGTTCTACTATTTCAATTGAATGAACACTATAATAGTGAGGTGACTTTAGGCAAGTTGCTAAACCTCCCTAAATTTAATTTTTCTTTTCTAAGCGGGGATGATATTATCTAATTCATAGAGTAGTCATGAGAATTAAATGAGATAATTAGTACTTCTCTGGAGGAAGAGAGGACGGGTGGCCTTTGTTTCTACTAATCACCAAGAAATATTATCAGCCTGGAACTGTGTTTTAAGTTGATTTCTCTGCTGGGAGATACTGGGACCACACAGATTGTATAAACACACAACTAGAATAAATTCAGTCTTCATAGGCCAAGGTTCGTTTTCTTTTTTTGTGTGTGTGGCTATTTGCTCTTCTTTATTTGTTTTCCTCTCCGGGGAGGGAGAGGAAAATGGAGAGAAAAGGAGAGGAAAAGAAGCTGTTCCAGCCTTGTCTCCAGAGCCCGCTGGCTGCTCAGGAGTGAGGGTGGAGGCCAAGGTTCAAATTCTTAAGGAAATTTTCTTTTTTAACCTAAGCTTCCTGTTGTCTCTTAGTACTTTTGAGCCAGTTTATTTATTTATTTTTGACAATATGATATCCTCTAAGGTCCCAGCTTTATGCAAGGGAATTTGAATTCCAGTTCATGGCCTCTCCAAGGCCCAAAGCCCCTATGTTCCACTCTCTGTGTGACTTGAAAAGAAAGCCCTTGAATGCCCAGACAGAAGAGCTTCCTGAAGCAGTTCAAGCTCACTGAGAGAGTGCCTGATTTTTAGTTTCTTCTGTATTTTTGTTTTGTTTTTTTTTAAAAATATATTTTATTGATTTTGTACAGAGAGGAAGGGAGAGAGATAGTTAGAAACATCGATGAGAGAGAGTCATCGATCAGCTGCCTCTTGCACACCCCTCACTGGGGATATGCTTACAACCAAGATACATGCCCCTGACCGGAATTGAACCCGGGACTTTTTTTTTTTTTTTTTTTTTTTTTTTAATAAGTTTTTATTGTTCATATTATTACAAATGTTCCTTCCCCCCCCCCCACCATTGCTCTCCTCCACCAGGTTCCCACCCCGCCCTCTGCCCTTTCCCCTCTCCCCATTGTCCTCATCCATAGGTGCACAGTTTATGTTCAGTCTCTTCCCACGCCCCCCTCTCCCTTTACCCCAAGAATTGTCGGTTCACTCCCCTTCCATACCTCTGATTCTATTATATTCAACAGTTAATATTGTTCATCAGATTTTTTTAATTTCCTTGGTTTTTAGATTCACTTGTTGATAGTTATGTATTTGTTGTTCATAATTTTTATCTTTGTTTACTTTCTCTTCTGAAAGAACCCCCTTCAGCAATTCATATAATTCTGGTTTGGTGGTGATGAACTCCTTTAGCTTTTTTTTATTAGTGAAGCTCTTTATCTGGCCTTCGATTCTGAGTGATAGCTTTGCTGTGAACCCAGGACTTTTTAGTCCCCAAGCTGATGCTCTATCCATTGAGCCAAACCGGTTTCGGCTTCTTCTGTATTTTTTACTCCTTGAGATTTCTTTTTCTTTCTAAAAGTCTCAACTCTGCCTATATTTGTTATATAACATAAAGTAGTTGTTTGATCAAGTTTTTGTAGGTGTTATGTAGTAGGCAAATTTTCAGGTTATTTTTTCCTTCACATTGCTGGATTTAGGAGATCCAAGTGGGAATGCCAAATACAAGTTTGTTGCTGTGGATGGGTTAATAATAACAGCTATTTATTATTAACAATACTGGTTGCTATTTGTTGAGCATGCATTGTCAGCCATGCACAGTGTTTCCTACCCAAGTGTATCTGACATCAGAGCAGGAGGAATTCATTCCTGCATTGGTGGGGGAATAGCCCAGAGCAAGTACTACAAGTTTAAAATTTATTTGAAACTTAAGTCTTATCTTCGAAATTCTATTATTAACATCCCAAAAAAGTGCAGCATATTTATTTCAGTGCTTTCATGTATCTGTATTGTTTAGTACTCATATGGGTTCCTGTGCCAGTTTGAGAACTATGTCATCATTATTTTACTTAATCCTTATTACACAAGTGTTAATACATGTGGACACGAATCAAGAAAAATGGAAAGACTTGTTCCTGTCACAGAGCCAGAAAGCAGAGGAGCCAGAGTCAAGTCTAAATTTGGATGTTTCTCACTAAGTTACATTTGGTTTATATTATTTGCTGCCTTATAATTGTTTATATTTCTGTAACACTCATTGTTCTTGCAGGCACTCACTGTATCCTCAGTGCCTAACACAAAGTAAGCTCTCAGTGAATATTGATTGGCTGAATGAATAAATGATTAGGCCCCTAATACTGAAGTCCATAAATCTCTGGCAAAGTAATCTCAGAGTTTAGAATAAACACTTTTGTTCTCTAAAGCCAGCGGTTCCACACAGAAAATAATGATATTTGTAGAGAACTCTGGGTAAACAGACAAGGCTGTCCAGGAGCTCCTGTGCCTCACTTCCTTCCCAGATGCCCTGAGAGCTTAAGGAATCAGGTCTCAGTCCACCTGGATCCCATTGTCAGCTCCTAAGCTGCCGTTATGGGTATCTCAGAATTATCTGCGGTTTTTATTTTTTTGTTTCTCTACTCATTCCCCCCGTATACATTCTCATCCCCTCTCTGTTCTCCATCCTTATACCCATTCACCCCTGATCATTAGTCATGAGCACAGTTGTCTTTTGGACAAAGCTTGAGAATCATTCTTTTAAATATTTTTCTTTTCTTAGTAGCGGCTAAAGTAGTCTGTGCACACTTAGGGAGATTGGTGAGCCTCCTTTGTAGGTTTGTCCTTTCTTCCAGGGTGTGTTGCCTGGAGCTCCTAGGAGAATTTCTCTTCTGAAGACCCCAGGCATTGCCCAGTGTCCTGAAATATTTGGAATCCCGTCCTTAAAGAGAAGCACGAAGAAACCGGTTGCTGCTGGCTTTTAGGGGAAGAGGGGCAGGGAGTGTTGGAGAGGGTTGTTTGTTTTTGTTTGTTTTTAAAAGGCTGTAAGCAAGATGAATACCATGGTATTGTGAATCTCTTCTTAGAGTTGGAGAGTCTTTTCCAGCATCTGAAGGTGGCTAGTTTTGTTTCCAAAGTATCAGTGACTGATTTATACCTATAGCAATCAGTGGCTTCTAAGTGTGGTCCCAGGCCTAGGAATTTTTAGAAATACCATCCTTGGGCCCTGCCCGAGACCTACTGAATAAGAAACTCTGGAGGTAGTTCTCAGCAATCTGTCTTTACAAGCTCCCAGATGATTCTGATACTCATATCTATCACTTAGTTAAGTGTTCAATAAATAGGCTTTCTCTTCTCTCCTAATTCTGTGTCTGGGAATCTTGCCTTCATGAATGCCATAATTCCTATGGAAAATACCTTTTGAGTTCCAAACAGCTTTTGAAACAGAAGTCATGTATTTGGTATGACACATGTGT